AGAGAATATAAGCCCTCTTTGAAAGTAATTAAGATCAGTGACTGCGTTGACTTTGTCTCTCCCGCTGAAAGTCAGGAACAGAGTCGCAAAAGAGGTGGTGACATCCCCTCCCCAAGTGGCCCCGTGTAGAAACGACATTTACTTTTGATCCCAGACACGTTCACAGAGGACAGAACCACATGGACGAGCCCTATTCAGAGTGGGAACTAGAAATACGCCAACTCGTCATGCCTGGCTTTGTTGGTCTGATAGCTGGACAAGGCCACGGGCTTGTTTTCATGCGGGAGACTTCGAAATACTCGAAGGTGCACAAACTCATCATCGTCAACTTGAACCTTGATGAAGTAGTTCATCCCTGCGACCACCTGGCTCCTGAACTCCACAGCCTTAAATGTAGCATACTTCTTATTTTCCTGTTCTTCCAGCTGGGGCTTCACCTGGTCAGCGATGGCCTGGGTCTCGGCCGTGGCGGGCTGCGAGGCGGTGGGCACCCCGCACATCATGCTGGCGGCGGACGGAAGACAACTCTTTTTTTTTTTTTTAAGATTTTATTTATTCATTTGACAGAGCACAAGCAGGGGGAGCGGCAGAGGGAGAGGGAGAAGCAGACTCCCCGCCGAGCAGGGAGCCCGACGCAGGGCTCGATCCCAGGACCCCAGGACCATGACCTGAGCCGAAGGCAGACGCTTAACCAACTAAGCCACCCAGGCGCCCCAATAACAACTCTTCCCCCCCCATTACCAACTCTTGATAGCAAACTGAAGCTGAGTATATTTGAAGAGAATCCAGGAACCAGAAAATCAATTGAATCAAAGGCATGTTACACCTAAGATCCATTTCACAGACGTGTGGGATATATTAATTACGTTAAAGATCACAACTGAATTTTAACATTCTGTCTAGGTGCCTGGTATCAGACAGACATGGATTTTTTTTTTTTTTTAAGACTTTATTTATTTATTTGACAGAGAGAGAGCACAAGCAGAGTGAGTAGAGGGCGAGGGAGAAGCAGGCTCCCCGCTGAGCAGGGAGCCTGACGTGGGACTTGACCCCAGGACCCCAGGATCATGACTTGAGCTGAAGGCAGACACTTAATCGACTGAGCCACCCAGGCGCCCCCAGACAGGGATTTAGAATCTTCCGGGCAGTTTCAAGCTGATGTGCACTTTTTGGCCCTGGGGTTTTAGCTCAGTTACTCTTGGAAGAACCCAACTCTCTGGGTTCTAAGAAAGAGAATTTAAAAAAACAAAAGAAAAGAAGACATGTTTTTCGGTCTTCTCGGATAGCATGTACCAGGCCTCTAAGAAAACGACATTTGTGTGAAGTAAGTAAACACTGGAAGATGATGCAGATTAGGTTTCCTTAAAATACACGTCAGTTTAAAAGTCGAGGGCAAAATGTGTTTGGCAAAACACAGCCCAGCTTTTTGCCAACCCAAAATGTTTATAAAATATTTTAAGATAGTCAACAAACTTTCCCTGAAACCAGAGCTGCCATGGGGAGGGCTCGGCGGTGTCTGAGGAACCACCTGGCTTCCAGGGCGGGCTGGAAGGCGGCCCAGCGTGCCGAGGGCAGTAGGCGGCCCTGCACAGCCCCCCACACACCCCGCAGTCCTCCTGGGACCCTGTGCCGTCGTCCTGCGCCAGCCAAGCCAGGAGAGGCTTCCGCAGGGGCATCAGCCCCCTCCTGGCTGCTTCCGTCCCGTCTCAACAGCTTCTGACAGCAGGACGGCAATGTGCCAAGTGTATATTAGGCCAAGGAAAGCGCTGGAAAGCGGTGTGGCCAGTAAGCCGTGGCACCTGTATTCAGTGAAGCCACAGCCACTAGACCAGGGATGTGGGACCAACTGTAGGACCCATGGAAGCAGGGAAAGAAAGGATATATACAATAAAAATATAAACATCCGTAAGAGCGCCCGGGGGGCGCAGTCGGTTAAGGGGCTAACTCGATTTTGGCTCAGGTCATGATCTCGGGGTCGTGGGATCAAGCCCCGTGTCCAGCTCTGTGCTCAGTGTGGAGTCTGCTTGAGATTCTCTCTCCCTCTGCCCCTCCCCCACCCCTCCCTAAAATAAACAAACCTTTAAATACACACACACACACATATATAAATACCTATAAACAAAGACTTGAAGAGTCAATAATGAAAAGAATTTTTTCAGTGTAAAAATAAAAAATCTCCTCTCCCCTCTGAGACTGGGCCAGGCTGACCCTCTGCCCTGGGCTGGCTGAGGCTCCCTGCAGCAGTCAAGGCCCTCCCAGGGACAAGCCCCTTCCTCTGCTCACCAGGCACCCACCCCACACTGGACGAGTCCCAGCTCGGAGCCCGGCCGGCAGAGGCCGCAGAGCGTGTTCCCGGCCACAGTCCACAGACCATACGACGGGGTCCACAGTGCACAGCCTACAGGGTCCCCCGGGGAGGGATGGGTGAGGGAGGCTGGGGAGCAGGAGGGCCCATCCTGTCTCCAGGGACCACAGCACCACCACGGGCTGTTGGAATTGTGTAGAATAAGCAAAAAAGCCAAACTAAAAATAAACATTTTTGAAGGGATAAAGAATGCAGATAAGATGCAGTTATTATGTTCAAAAGGACATGCTGAGGCTCAGGGTTTTCTGCCAAGGCAGTCGGCCCTCCCCGCCTCCCCGGCCGCACACCCTGGGACTCGCTGGAGGCTCGGAGTCGAAGTGCCCCCTCCACAAGCAGGAGTAGCCGCTCAGGGCACTGGCCCCCCGGGGTCTGCGGCGGCAGAGGTGGGTTGGCGTGGGCACCAGCCAAGCTGGAACATTCGTTTGACTAACTTGGCATGAAAAGCTGGGCCTCCTTTTCCCCTCTGCTGTCGCTGGCAAGGCTTCTGTCTGCCCGTCCGGGTCCCTCTCCTCTTCTCCAGCCTGCTCCCTGCGGCTCCCCCACCCCCTGGGGGCTCTTTGATCCCCCCACTGCCCACAGGGTTCAGACAGCTGGGAGCCCAGGAGACTTTGGGGCAGGATCTGTTGGCCTGCAGCCATCAAAACCTCAAGCCACGGTCACACTTCTCTGGAGGCCTCTCCACAGCCATTTCCGGGCGGCCGTGAATGCTTCCCTGCCCTGGCTAATCCACGTCCGGGAGC